TAAACAGGTACTCCCCGAGCTTTTTGAGAAGATGGAGCTATTTTGAGTCATATCTTCTTCTTTTGTATAATTATTTCTGTTTCAATATACAATGATTGAACACATGTAAATATTTATACTTTTTAAATATAATGGTTGTTTGTACTTTGATTGCTATGATGCATGTGTTGTGATACTACAAATGAAGTCCTCCACCACCGGACGTTTCTGCCGTCTGGTTTAGGGGTGTGACATCAAGTCACATTTAATGAGAAATTTAATTAAATTTGTTTTAATTGATTAAATATGACTTTTTAAATTTATATGGATTGAAGGGTTTTGGAAAAAGTTCATCATATAACTATAATAATGTGCTTTTATGGAAATAACTAATAAATGAAAAGAAAGAGTTAAAAACCAAAATATTCATCTTGTATACCTCATAGAGCCCCCTTTCTTTCTCTCTCTTGTGTCGACTTGAAACTAAGGAAATAAGATATTTTGATGTTGATCTTATTGACAGTCTAGTAGTTGTTCATTCATGTTATGTATGTATCGTGTGGATCAACTGTAGAAGTTACATATTCTTGTGATGGGTCCCCATCATCTATGAATGAAGGTAGTATTCTTAAATTAGGTGAATTATTGTTGTTCTAGTTGGCTTTAAATTGTATTTTTCTTTCGTTGGAATGATTAGTAAATTGTTTATGTAATCACCGACCAAAAACGTTATCTTGAGAAATTAAAGAATCTTATGATATTTTTTTTTGGAACGCAATTTATTTTAGAAGGTGGGTGGTTAATTCACAATTTCAAAGTTGTTAATTGTTGTCTTTTGTTCTATGTATGATTATTTTTTTGAGGCGTCTCCTTTTATTTTTTTTATATTGTGAGTAACAAATTTAAGAGTTTTGAATTTATTGGTCATCATTATACATGTTGGAAATGTGTTTTTATCAAACTGATTGAGGGTTCACGTCTCGTACTAAGACAAAATGTGTATATTAGGAGTAGGATTTAGTGGGTATATGTCTTAGGCGTTCTAAAAATGTTTCATTTCAGGTAATATTCTTTTGGTGTTTTATTATTCTTAGATATCGAATTTTAGGATTTGACTGACCGCAACGTGGTTGTGAAAATCCATCACGGCACGACCACGTAATTTAAGTTGTAGCGCGATCAGGTGATGACCGCGGCATAGTGGTGGCTAGATGCACAACCCTACGTCATGGGCCTTTGGACCTATTTAAAGGATGTGATGGCTATGGTTTCCTCCACCCTCAACCTCCATCATCTCCAGAAAACCCTAGCCACCCAGCACCTTGTTCTCTCTTTGTCCTTTATGTGTTTGTGTGATTCTGAAAATTTGGAAGAGGTTTCCACTCTCTTGAAGTTCTTGGTGTGCATTGGTATGGGATTTTTCCTTCTTGAACTCTTATGGTCATTGTATGTGATTAAGTATTTACCTTTCTGTTTTTACTACTTGAATTTTATGATTTATACGCATTTTGGTCCCTCTTTATGGATTATGAGTGGAGTTTTGGAAACTAAATAATAAATCTTGGATTTTTATGGTCTCTTTATGTGCCAGCAGTGCCTTATGGATTAGATCTAAAGTTTGATATCCATTTGGTACCATGCATGGGATATGACCTTATTTTTACCATTTTTAATCTACATTGGTGTTAGACATGCATAGGGCATGTATATCCATAAAATTATGATTTATATAGACCTTTGGGAAGTATAAAAGCTTTTTTTAGAAACTATAAGGCTTAAACTTAACGGATTTATTGCTTAATGAGTTAAGCACTCAACCAAAGGAAACGCGACGTGTCCAAGCGTAGCTACGACACGATAGACTATGAGTCTCACAGTTATTTTGTTATTTAATGACTACAACGCGATCAGTGTGTGGTCGTAGCGTCTTGGCGTGGTGGTCAGTGTTTGTTGACCATTCACCATTAACTTTTTGATCAGTTTGACTTTTAGTCAAACTTAGGAGTTTGAGTAGTGGATTGAGGTTGGACCTCTGCTAAGTTAAGCAGCGTGTGTAGCTGATTCTGCATCACCTTGAGGATTATTTTTTCAGTTCTTGATTCAGGCGAGTCTTATCATTATACTATATGACAATAGGTGTTATGTTATCCTAGTTGTCTTTGTGACTCTTGAATGTTTGTTTATATGCTTGTTCGGTTGGGCCTATTTTTTTAGGGGGTTGGGCCTGAAAGGATGCATGTTGCCTTGGGCCCTCATCAATGAAACATAATTTTTTGTCTAGGCCCGTTATTATATGTATTTGGTATTTTGGAGAATTTACTAAGCTTTATGCTTACTGTTTTAAGTTAAAATGTTGCAGGTGCCTTTGGTAGCAAAAGGAAGAGGACAGCTTGATTCTATCACATCCTGTAGAGATTTCCATACTATTGACTTTTATGTTATTTACTCTAATATTTGATCTTACGATTTCAAACTTATACCATGGTTACCTTTAATGGAATGATGATGAATTGGTCTTATTACTAAAAATGAAAATTTTACTCTGTTTTTGGACGTTACAAAAAAAGGTCATTAAAGTTGTAGTCGTGTTAATCAATTCTATAAACTTCTAATTTGTACCATTTAGCCATTAAGAAAATGTATAATAGGTTCAGAAGTTTTTCGTCCTATGTGGCATACCATGTAGTCTAATTATGATCATTTTCGTCCATATGGTGTGGTCATGTCATCCATATGGAAGGCACCGCCACAACCACTACAACGACCACCACTGCAACCTCTACCTACTCGTAAGAATCAGCCAAGGAAGATGTCGTTTGCACTGCAACCACCAACGACCACCACTTCTGCAACCTCTAACGACTCGTCGGAATCGGCCAATTAAGTCGCCACATGCACCACTACAACAACCACTTCTGCAACCACCCCACATGCACCAACGACCACTAATTCTGCAACCTCTATGTTAAAACATTTATGTGAATGCTATTCTAATCTACGTGGTCTTAAAGCTATAAATTTTTAGTTTCTGTTTGTATGTATTTTCATCTACAAGTTAGAATGCTATTTGTATGTATGTGTGTGTGTTTAATCCTATGCATGAAGGTGTAGGATTTTTTAATGGGATATTTTTAATTAAAATGATAGTAATTATGGAGAGAGAGAGAGAGTTAATTCAAAAAAATCTAAAAATCTATGGTGACACAACGTTAGCGCCACATGGATAAAGGTAAGTCAAAATTGTCTATATGGCATGTCACATAATGAAGGACATCTTAAACCTGGTATATCATGTCTCAATGGCTATGCGGTGCGACAAAATTGAAAGTTTAAGGATTTGTTTTTTTGAATGGCAATCTAATTTATTCATAAACTACTCCTTAATTTCACTTATGTTCACCAAGAGACTTGAACCTCAACATCAAGGAGGGATGGCAACACCGAATATTGTTGGACTAGAAGTCATTTGGTAAAGTTTGAGGATTTAATTAGCACCATTTAAAACTTAAGTGGCCAAAGGTAACAATTTTGAGTGTTTGTTCAGTAAAGTGAAAACATTTTTTTTATTGTTATTAAGATTTTAATTAAACAAATTGTTATTATAATAAATACTAGAACAAAATGTTAGTTCCTGATGTTGAAAATGAGTTAATAATAAGAACATGCTTTGTGAGACGGTGATGTCAAAGACATGTTATGTTATGTTGATGTGAATACAAAATCGCAATGGAATAAATCCTTTCCAAAGCCTATGCACCAAGAGAAGTTTCTGTCTAATCACATCATCTGAAGGATCACCATCGAATTGAATAAACCTTCTCCGTATACTAATCATCTACGGTCAATCTTATCCACATGAGGTTGTACAGTGATGGTCGACAATTAACGAACATGACTAATCTGAACATACCCTTCTACACCATTTCATCTTGAATCTTGTGGCTCATATGAAGCCGCAGCTGCTGCTGATATGAACCAGTTCTTATTGGACCCAATTTTTCATTAGAGAAGGTCATCATCTTAAACCAAAAGACCAGACACACACCCAACATGTATATGCCTTAATAGCCCTACATTTGTGACATCTATCACATGGTTTTGGCCCCCTTCCCCCCTGTCCAAATTTTCATTTATGACTATGTTTTTCCATGTCTTTGTGAATATATATATGTAACCATTACATATAATTTCTTCCCTCATCTCAAGCACAAGCCAAAAAATAACATCTTAGATTCTAATTTGCACAAACGCAAATCAACAACATGATCAGCCCCAAGAAACTAGCTAGAATAACAAGGAACTGGCAGAATCTAGCAGCACTAAGGCCAAAAAGGATCGCGGTTCCAAGAGTCGCTGGTTGTGCAGACTTTTTTGGTAAGGGTTGCTTTGTGGTGTATACTTGTGATGAAATACGGTTTGTGGTGCCATTGGATTATCTCAAGAATGAAATATTTAAAGAACTCTTGGAGATAGCAGAGGAAGAGTACGGGTCGCAGAGAGATGGGCCGATTAAACTGCCATTCAAAGCCACCTTCATGCAATACACAGTTTCTGTGTATTGCATGCAATACACAGTTTCTTTGCCAATCTATTTTTCTCTGCTAGAAAAACAGATGGGCAAAGACTTGGAGGAAGAATTTCGCACAACTATAACTTCTTGACGGTGCTTATCTACTTCAAATGTGCGACTACAAGTTCATCCACTATTACTAGTGGGATAATTATATACTAAGGAGTTGTGGTTTATAACTATATCCAACAAATTGTATAGCAATATTACATAGTAGAAATTAGTTCGTTGAATATAATCATTTGTTAAATGTTGATATATATATATATATATATATATATATATATATATATATATATATATAGGAACGTTCAATTAAGAAAAAAAAAGGTTAACAATGAGGGAATCATTCTCATCCAATCATTTAATCTAAGCATAAAAAGACACGGTGACAAAATTATAAATATGATAATAACCTTCAATCTCAAATACGTAACTGTAGAGAATTAGATTACAGTTCAAACCTATTCATCGTTCATCATCCAAATTTCTTCTCCAACCTTCAACAATCATCCAGATTTCTTCAATTAAACCATCATCAACGTCATCCAGTGTTAATCAATCATCGATCTTCGTCAATAACACGTTTATCAATACCATTCAACAGTTGACAACAAAAATTCGTTTTTATTTCTTTTAATCCAACCTTCAATTTTGCTTGAATACGATAATATCTTCAACATCTACGATTAATTATACTCCCAGTGTCATTAGATCAACATCATCGATAATCAACAAAAAATCCACTTCATATCATTCATTCAACATCGATCATCAAATAAAACTTCAAAATTAAGGTTAGAAAAAGATCAAATCGTTGTTTTTTTGAAAAATTTCA